ACAATAGGAAATATTCAGTGTACAATAAACTTGTAAATTATGAAGGCCTAATAAACTACAATTGGAATAGCAATCGCTCGTTAAGTTGTAATTGAGTTACTGCATTATTTTGATAAAATATTGAAAGAAATTGCTGTTGACAGGCTCTGCCAAACTGTGTGTGTTTTCGTAAAGCAGCTTAGTTATCAGCGCCGTTAAAAACGCTTCTTATCATTAATCTCGCCGTCGTTGTAACATAAGGACAGAGATATATGCCATTCACACAACTCCAAATGATTGAACCACATGTAGTTGCCTAGCAACAAAGTAAAAGCCACGGTAAATATATTAGTTTACTTACATTCAAGTGTTACACACTTTCTCTTCGCAGTAAAGCACAAGCAGTGTTCCAAGAAAGCTTTTCAAATAAGCTAAATTATGTATCTGGTATCAAATGTTATACTTGTCACCTTCTGGTTTACAGAATACAAAGACATTCTTACTAAACAATTAAAAGTTTTCATAAATAAGGTGGATAATTTGATTCATGTTAAACAGATATTATCATTGTTAAGAAAGAAAACAACCTCATTGTTCTCATACGAATTTGATTTACATTTATCAGGCTTTCACTTTCATGACTGCTCATTTGAAAGTTTCGCATAAAATGATTTTGATGATATATTTATTGTATCAATTACATCCATTTAACTGGACAATACAGTACAATAACTGCGTTATAGAATAAGCTACGGATTAAAAGTCTGCCAAACAAAATCACCGTTAAAAACGCTTCTTATCGTCACTCTCGCCGTCATTTTAACACAAGGACAGAGATATATATCATTCATACAACTCCAAATGATTGAATCACACACGAACACACACAATCTCAAGAAAGTCTATGCCCATAAGTAGTTCAAAACACTGACCATATCTCAATAACTTATGTTTTTTCTTAACGTTTTGATGTTACTTATACAACAATTGCAGTGATGTTTAGTTCAAATGTCAGCCAAACCTGAAATTTCTTCTATCGATTTAACTCACGCTAATGTCAACATCGTGCAAAAAACGCAACACAACATCAGAATAATTACACCAGAAAGTTATCTTTCTCAGGTGACCTAAAGGAAACTATTCTGGCATTTTTCAATCATGTGCCACAGGCAACCAGTTCGGTTTAAGTAAGAGCACGGAAGCAAACAGATTTATACGCATACTGCATAGTCAAAATAATAAGTGCTTGTCTGAAAATATGTAAATATGATAAACTGACAAAGCAGCTCTAACACGGTTAAAAGTATTTGCAAGTCCTAATGTAAGGGTTATATTTAGGTCATTCTTAGGTAAAGCAGAATATTTTCAAATGCAGTGTATACATTATTTCTAGCAGCAGTAAAAAATCTAACCATGTAAAATATAAGTCTATTTCTCATGAAAAGTGGATGCAAATGTAAGAATAAAAAGTTTAAATAATATTCTTCACTCTCAGCTTGAAACTAAAGAACTGAGAAATATCCTTTCATTTTTTTAAATGAAAAAAGAAAAGAACAAGGATATGAAGAGAGATTAATCTCGGTTGTGAAACAAGCATTTTTTGAATCTTATTGATCATATCTCATCGAACAAAATAAATACTAAATTCAAATTCTTAACTTGTTGTTTTAGCACAAAACTACATAATGCGCTATCTGTGGTCTGTCAACAGTGGATGTTCATGTTTTAAGAGCCTAAAATTACTACTGACCCACCGGAGATTGTTTGTTTGAATTTCGCGCAAAGCTACACGAGAGCTATCTGCATTAGCCGTCCCTAATTTAGCAGTGTAAGACTAGAGGGAAGGCACCCACCGCCAACTCTTGGACTACTCTTTTACCAACGAATAGTGGGATTGACCGACACGTTATAACGCCCCCACGGCTGAAAGGGCGAGCATGTTTGGTGTGACGGGGATTCGAACCCGCGACCCACAGATTGTGAGTCAAGCACCCTAACCACCTGGCCATGTCTGGCCTAACGTAGAAGGAGGGATACTAAAATTATTTGGAAGGACTTTATATTATTTTACAGTTGTTTTTATTTCCTCACTAGCTTTTCCATGTGGGCGGGTTTGAACTTCTGTTCACTGAACGATAGGATGAATTCACCGAAACAAGTTATTTGATTCGATATACTTGTGTACATTTTTTGTGCGTCTCTGAATTTACATTACCAAAAGAAATACTGTAGGGAAAATAAAGAACTGTGTAGCTTCGGGAAAAAACTCTCTCGGTTAAAATACCAGAACACATTCGGTCCCACACAGAAAGTACAAAGTCATGCAAGCTTTGTAATTACGTGGAAAGATCAGTAGAACATACCAGCGTTATCTGTTTGTTTCTGAAATTTCTCGCAAACCTACAGAAAGGGTTGCCTGCTTGTGCGCACTCTAAATTTTGAACGTACAGACTATACAGAAGGAAGATTTCGGGTTGTTATTATTTGGCCGAATAGTGGAATTTAATAATAATTCTTATAGCGTACCCAATGCCCCAAAATGCGAAGCAATTTTGCGACAACAAGTCGCAAACCATGAATCCTATAAATCATAGTCCGAGCACGCTAACTACTAGGCCACGCACTGGCCATCATTCTAGTTAGCAGTACTGCGAAATTAAATTATAATATTTGCTTTTCGGTTATCAAACCAGAGAAACAATTTTTATTTTGGTATTACTAATCACTGCTACTTGCAGTTGTACTTCTCATACACATGACGAATTTTATATACATTCAACATTTGTATTTTAATAACTCTGTCGTACGAGTCGTGAACGGCACAAAACTGTTAAGATTACACTGGACTGTGAATGACATGCTCAATATGTCCTCCTAGTTGTGATGTCAGGTGACGTTTCACTCACTGTACACGATATTTTGAAATGTCTTTAAAAGTTACATATACCCGTGGAATTATATGTACTGCATCCTTAAGCTTCCGTATGGTGTGTGGGTTACCTTCGAATAACCCAAGCGAAAATATATCAAAGTTATTTTGAATCAGGTGATATTAGAGACCAGAATAATCCTCATCCATTGACGTTACATCCGAAGGTTTCACGAAGAAAATACAGCATAATGTTTGCTAATGTGCTGCCACCTACCGCATTTGAATCTCCCAAGTTATTACAAATACAGAATGCATACAAAATCTCTCAATTTACACCGCAAAAAACAATCATGTAGGTTTTGTTTTCAGTTCGTGCACCTGCATGAAAACGAAGAGTGAAATAGAATGAAGAAAATTTACCCATAACTTCTATACAAGCTCTACAGGCCATTTGATTAAGGAAGCAAACAAGTTATGTTGCATAAGTAGCAGTCTTCGTGTAACACCATTAAGACCAAATGACTGATTTAATAAATAAGCGTATGAAACAAGGATAACTGTTTGCCTTCAGATGAACTAACTCTAAAACTTGCTATAGAATATTAAGAATGTTACAATCTTCGGATCTTTCGTGCTAGGTTTTCAGCAAATGAAAGGAATCCCATCTTTTACTTTTTAAAATTAGCTGTTGCATCTTCCTGGACTTATTTAAATAATTCTCTTTTGTGCCTCATGACGACTACTAATTTAAGTCTGTAAAATTCAGATTCTGCCCAAACTATATTGTTTTACATGCTTTCTTTTCCAATTCAATTAGATAAGTTTCGGCTTTAAAATAAATTTTTAATTGAATGGGACTGAAAATACGCATGTCTTCGATTGGAGAGCTCTTGGAATTGAGCCAAATATGTGTAATTTGCTTTAACTAATTACTGGGATAGAAAAGTAACACTCAACACATATATAATGATGACATCAAATGGTGTTTAAAAGAAGTAGGTGAGCTAACAACCAGAACATTTTGTTGGTCACACACTCAATACGAACATATAATCGTTATATGCTGGAAATTAAGAAATCAGTAAATTAAGCAGGTAACTACTTAACCACGCTTTCTTCACCAGAAAGTGTACAAAACTCTAACAGTTAAATATTATGAAAATAACGTGTAAATTATTAGAATAATGGAGGTAAAGTACAACGTATGCTGTTCATCATAATGTGTAAAACATATACAACCTTTTTAGAGATCTAACATTATAATAAACATCACATTGTTAACCTGCTATTATCCAGTGAAATCCAACTATTAGCTAAAGGTTTAAATGGACACTGTGCATTCTACATATAAAAAAATACAGATAGCCTTGTCGTTTAATGATGAAAAATATCGAATAACTTACTAAGCATAATAATGAAAAATAAACGGATAAAAAGATTCATATATTGTACATTTACATGACATTAACAACACGCAACAGCTGAAACACAAACAGTGTTTGAAGTATACAGTGCATGATACACGATATAATTTAACTATTTCCCAATCGTTAAAATACTGCATTATATACAGTAGACAAACCGGTATGACACACAGGTGTAAATGTATAAAATATGTATACATATAAACATTGAACCCACAAACATATATGTAGAAACAAACATTAAATTATTAAATACAGAAATTAAAGACTTTGCGATTGACGAATTGCTTTGAATTTAATGTAAGAAATCCTGCAGACTGAAGTCAACATTACGATTTTTGAATTCAGTCTTATGATACTTACAAAAAGAGAGTCACGATCCTTCAGACTTTCACGCTAAGTTTACAACTTTCCTTTTACCTTAGAAATCTCTAGCAGTAGCAGGGTCCAGGTAAGCAATTCTAAGATCGCATATGTGGTTGTCGAAAGGCCTATATCATGAAAGTAAACTTTCATGTGTTTTTTGTAACTTTCTAGCACAAAGTATTTTATAACAATAACGCCATCTTTTTGTCTAAATAAATATCAATACAAATAAAGTTAAGTTATGAAAAAGTTTTTTTTGACATAATACTATCATTATTTAAAGTGCAACATAGTCAGGATATACACACACTACGCCTCCCTTTACACTAACTAAACCTAATTCAAAGAGTATTACTCACAGTTGGATGAGAGCAGTATTGCCCTCTTGCGGCGGCCTTCTTCAAGGTTAAAACTTGTCTAACACGCTGTACTAGCCTGAAGAACAAACAAAAAACAGCATTATTTACGAGCAACAGCTATTAAGTTGTGTGTTTTTTATATGAGTATGATTTTAGATTTTATATTCAAATTGTTTCTTATTGAAATAACATTTGGGGAAATTAGGTTTGACCAACTGATGAAATAATCCATTATTATAAGTAGAAATGAAAGAATGGTACATTTAGATAGTTAAGCCAATTTGATGTCTGTCTGTTTCAGATTTGATTACATAACTTGCTTTAAAAAGAAGTTTAAGTTAATTTCCACAAATCCAATGTGTAAACAAGCAAACAATAATCGTAGATGACAATAAAAATAACAATAAACAAATTAATATATTTGCGCGGGTTGACCGTTTGGTAGAGTTCTAGATTTCGGAGTCGGTAAGTCGGCTTCGAATCCACATAATACCACAGAAGTATTCCCTGTGCTATAAGATGTGGGTGAGTTATTTGAGCGACAGGATGGTAGCATGGATCCCTTAGCATGGATGGTAGGATGCTGTTAACTGGCTGCCTTTTCTCTAGTCAGTAGATTAAAATTAGAGACAGTAGCAAATAGTCCTAATAGCTTTGCTATAAATACTGAAAAAATAAACTAAGATAGTACATCAGCAAAGAATAGGATTTAACATACTTTAATTTACAATGAAACTTTTACTTTTTTACGTGAGTATCTAAAGAATATATCCAAGAAGCGTTACTAGCCGAAACGAACCAGCTTGGTACAATAATCCTCTGAATGTGGAGGAAAATAACATAACAAATGTGAAAAGCAGAAAACATCTGCTTGTAAAACAGATTTTAGTCGATCATATTTCTATTTGTTTCCGTTCTACACGCTTCGTAAGAAATCTTAAAAAAATAAGTGTCGAACGTGAAAGCATGTTTGAATACATCGGTTCAGGTCCAATTAAACTCTATAGCTTTATTTTCGAAATTTGATTTTTGTTGGGGATTCTTTCCCACTCGTTTGAAGTCAAGCTGAACATATCCTACAAATATTCCAAAATACAACTGTAGTCTCATGTTTATCACATCATGCTATACCTCGTTGAAACAAACTGCCACACTTTACTTATTTTGATACACTACGTATTATAAAACACGCCTGTGGGTTATGTGGTTGTATTCGACTATTTTCTTAAGTTTTTCAGCAATACACAACTGATATTTTGTTTTTAGTGCTCGTTTTCAGTGAGTAATCCTACACTGAAAACTATTAAGTATTTTAAAGGCTGTGTTATATATTTGATGATATAATCAAAATAACTTTAAACATATTCAATTCAAATATATTTACAATATTTAAGAGCTCCTTTTAATACATAGGTGTAAAAAATGAAATACCATCTCCCTAGTGGCCAGAAACCGAACTTCCACCACCATATATACCCTTGCCGTAGCAAAAATAAAAAAAACACGTTGATTTCACTATGACGTAATTTCTAACTGAAACTGATAAAGTCAGTGTAGGAAAACCTCTCGTTTTTCATGTACGTCTATATTGTATATAAAGACATAAACTCATAAGAAATATTGGAATATTTTTTTTTCTCTATATAGAATTTTCTGGTAGTATATGAACAATTTATAACTAACTTTTTAGCCTCAATTTTTAAACAATTTCACAATTAAATTAATATTTAATAATTAGTTAACCCAATGCAAACTCATGACACATAACACCAGTCCCTGGTGAAATTATATTAAAACTAACATAATAGCCTATATTTGCTTCATAACTTCTGTGGTTTTATTGAATGTTACGACGGTAGGAGCAAGTACTTTGCAAAACACGAGAGGTAGACTGTTTCTAGTATGGCGTCCCCTGGTGGTTCCAAAATAAACGGAAATCAATTGTTTCCAGCTTTCAGTAATATTCGATCAATCTACCAGTTCAAAATGCAATCTGTTCACTTGTTTAGCATGTAGCAACGACTTTGTTAGCTGTCGACCACACATAATGAGACATTTCAAACTCAATGAAACCCAAGCGTTTTCGATATGTGGACCTGTCTTCTTTAGGGGTATAGAAAGAATGTTGAAATTATGTAAGGTGTAGACACAAATTGAAAAACACGAAGTAAACCTAACTGGCCGGATGTGGGCCAAAGTCACGTGTTTAGTTACGTAGACGTGGTTTACTCATTGAACTTACTTCTGATGACTTACTAATCTTGTCTTTACCTTTCAAATAATTATTTGTACGGCATGACTCATACGGTGTATTTCTTCTCGTCATTCAAAGCAAGAACTGAGTATGCACCGAAACTGCTTTGAGCAACCTGTGATAAAACAGTTAGGGTCCCGAGTAAACACCAGAAAGGCTCCGGGTGACTTGCGATGAAACACTTAGAGTCCTGAGCATGCATCGGAAACCGCTGCGAATAAATTGTGACGAAACAATTAGGGCCCCGAGTATGCACAGAAACTGCTCCGGGTATCTTGCAATGAAACGCTTAAGGTCCCGAGTTCGCATTAGAACCGCTTCGATTAATTTATGATGAAACACTTAGAGTCCTGAGTACCCACCGGAACTGCTCCGATTAATATATGATGAAACACTTAGGGTCCTGAGTGCGCATCGGAACTGCTCCGATTAATTTATGATGAAACACTTAGGGTCCTGAGTGCGCATCCGATTAATTTGCGGCGAATTATTTAAGAGTCATGCTGTCATGACAACAAAAGTGAGTCAATAAATGTTCTTCTCTATCCCTGAAATGTTTGTGCTGCTGTTACTTTAAACATTTGATTTCTCCGACAAACTTTGCAGCTATTTATACATGTCTTCTTTTATTTATGATCCACATCCATATAACTAAATAAACTTTAACCCACATCCGGTTTTTCAGATTTACTTCTGTTTTCCAACTTATGTCCACCAGCACTTGACATTTAATTTCATCATTTTCCTATTTTTCCTCAAGAAAACAGCTACCTGTCGAATGCTCTAGGTTTCATCGGATTTATTTGAATGAGGTTTACCAAACTGCTTTCATAGTTCTCGTTTTTTGTTGTTTGTTTTTTTGTCTTTATTATTAATGAAAAAATCTTTCAAACAATATTCTTAACCAAATAACATCAGTATATTTTATAGTTTAAGTCTGTCATAGTGACTGCAAATAAAAACAAAAACTGTCAACTCCAGCAGACTGGAAATCAAATTTTTTCGACAGTGGTATCAGAAACTACTTATATTAAATTTTGGACTAGTGTAACTGACAAGGCTTGAGTTATATATGCGTTTGTATGTATTTGTTTCCTCGAGCAAAAATTCGGTGGAACGAAACGTAAAAACAAGAATTTTATAAACTAAATTTAAACCAAACATCGCGGGGATATTAGTATGTAATATATCTATAACACTTGATACAACAAATATTTAAGATATATATATATATACAAAAGGAAAGGAAACATGTAATACCAAATCTGATTTTCTATCTCTTCATTCGAGCAATCTTAAGATCGATAATAAAATAATGTTCTGCTAGAATAATAAGAAGTTAATATATACTCAAAATCAATACATAGCCCTGGATATAAAATATTCTTCGTATTAATTCTTGTTTATTTAAAACTATACGGAAGTAAAAACAAGAAATTATTTACCAGGAATCAGAAAGAAGTTTATTAAATTGCTGATTTAAAACTTAACGATTTTTTAGCATATTATTACAACAATAAGTAAACTTACCCTAGCCTCCGTTAAAACCTGCGTATTCATTAAGTGTTTTTACCTAAAAACATCATTCACAAACTAACGTGGTCACATTCTGAAAATGTACGACATTTTTATATGTATTGATTCATAGCTGTGGTATATTTGCGGACTTAAAACGCTATAAACCGGGTTTCGATACCCGTGGTGGGCAGAGCACAGATAGCCCATTGTTTAGCTTTGTGCTTAACGTAAACAAACACATATTTTCCCTTAAAAACAATTTTTGAAAACCTGCTGAAAAGCAGATTTTCATTTTTTCAAAGCCTTTTGTTTGTTAAAGACACGAAGTAAAATTCTAATCAGAATGGCATAATTCTAACATATCTT